TTCTTTCATTGTGCCAGGCTACAACGCAACTGCAAAATCACAAAACACCAATACAAATTCCAAAAATAATAACAATAACATCAAAAAGCTGTAACCAAAAGATTAACCCAGGTCCAAAGCTGGGTTATAATCGGTTATAAGTGGTAAATACCAAAAGCAAATCAGCTGATATGTGACGTCACAATTTCCCCTACTTTGGTTAAAACCGCGATGGCGGAAATGCATTGGTTATAACCAAATAATAATCATTCCAGGCTGAAAATCGCCTATGATTTTTGAATTTAAAAAAAAAGGCTGAATATCAAAAAACCAAAATAATGAATTGTAGATAATCGATCAAATAATGTTTATGCCAAATTTGAGCCAATTCTGATGTGCCGTTTTTCTAAAGACCCTAAAACAAGTTTCGAAAATCAACCAATCACAGTTTAAACATGGCGGCTATTAACACGGCCTTAACTAAAAACTAGGATTTTTTAACTGGAACGATGATATACCAAATTAAAGATGAAATTTTTTTTTATGATGTATACTAAGGGCTCGACAATCCTTAACGTTGGTGAATCGTTTTGAAAAAATGGCATTTCTTGACTTTCCTCTCAAAAAGTTGAAAAAGTTATTCTTACTAAGGTTTTGATAAAAGAAAACATATTTGAAATAAATAGATATTTACACAAAAAAAGAAAAAAACATTATTTGATGATTTTCATATTCGTTCGTCGTCCTCATCTGCAGAATTACCACCTGGGGCCGTATTCTTGATTTCTGGGACGACAACTTACTCGGGAAGTGAGCGTGGTTCACCTCAAAACGGTATATGTCATATTCTTGAAAATGGGACTATGAAGTTCCCGGGAATTCTGAAGTTCCCGGGAATTATAAAGTTCCCCTCCTCTTACCCAAGAGAAAACGAGTTCCCGGGGCTTCTAACTTCAAAACTTGACGTTGTTTTCAAACTTGACGTTGTTTTCGTTTTCTCCTTTAAAGTTCAAGGTTTTTTCGTTTTTGTATGTGTTGTGTCTTTTCATTAAAATGAATGTGGATTATTTTAATGAGATTATCTTGAATAACATAACATAATCCAAGAAGACATGGGAAATCCTGCAGAAGCAAAAGAAATAGGATGGGATGTTCTGCTTCAAAGAATAAGGTACCTACATATTTCTTTTCGCTTGACCAGAAATTCGTGAAATTTTTTACAGTAAGCAAAAATCTATGCCACGAAATAGTGGATATGGTTACTCCTTGTGTTATGTTACCCCTATAACGCGAGTCTCGGCTTTAACCAAAACTACAAAGGTACCTGTGCATTGAACACAGTATTTCAGAAGTTGATGAGCCAACGAAGTTCAGGAAAAAGAATACGAAATGAATGCTTCGGAATATTTTCCTCATGTATGAAAAATCCCAAAGAGTAATGCTATTATCGAAAAGTTACAGCGGTGATGTTCATAGGGTAGTTAAAAATAAATAAATTATCAAACCCAAATGCCTTTCAGTTTTCAAAGTTTGGAAGAATAGACAATATTAAACATCAAACGTGGGGTTAGATTACTCGTATAGGCGGCAACATTGCGAGCGCTTGTGAGTATTCAAGAATACGACCTTTTAGCTCCCGGGAGCGAAAGTGAACTAGCATTCCTGGGAACGTTCCCGGGAACACTCCCTTCCCGGGCAGTCAAGAATACGGGGCCTGAAAAAATTAGAAGTTGAGACTTTGGATAACTACATGTCGTTCATGTTTATTATAGACAAAATCTATTATGTCATTGCCGAATAGAAAGAAATGGGGTAGTATACAAGTGATTTTTAACTACTACGTAGTAATATACTCGACGTATCATACTGTTTAGTGTGATCAGTTGCTTTGTAAAAACCGCAATAGCCTGGAAATTCTTTTTTCTATTTTCCTCTTAGCCCCGCTCCTACGTGAAAATAGAAGTTCGTGACGTAGTTCGTTTTTCCAATCTGGCAACACATCACGGTTTTGAGAACGCACAATTTGCACTGACATTGACCGTCAAGAACGAAACGTCAAATTTACTACATCGAACAACGTACACAAGTTCCTGTGACAATGTCACATGTCACACGATTCACACGACACCACACGTCGTTGAACTGTTGAAGGCAGCTGTCATTTTGAGGCATTTTGAGCAGCGATGCCAGATGATCAGCGGCTTGAATACTATTGGTCGCCGCTGTGGCGCTAAATTCAAATCACAGTTTGTTTTTCTCTGACTAATTCTAAAGACACTATGCTGGAAAGTAATTCAGTATCCCACTATACCATCACCATTTAGCCTATAGAATAATGTCGAGCAGTTTTTTTACTGATTTTTATACCTAGTATACTACCCCATTCCTAATTTACAGTAAAAAATACTAGATTAGGATAATATTTACTTGTAATCGTAAAAATTACCTTCGATCTTCTCAGGCGAAACATCTTGCACTGAGCAGTATAACCCAACCGTCCCAACCCTTCTGCATCCGCAATTACCCTAGCAGTCCTTCTGGCACTTGCAGGCAATGGTTTTCTTGGTTTTATTTGCTCCAAATAATGTTGCCTTCTATCAAAACCTAAGTTGAAATAACGCATTCAACTTTTTTAAAGGAAAGTCAAGAAATGCCATTTTTACACACGATCTACCGATGTTAAAAAGATTGTCGAGACTTTAGAGTAATTATACATACATACTAAAATTTTGCCTACTTTAATTCGGTACCCACCTATATCATATTTATAATTGAAAATCGCTTAGTTTTCGAGTTATTGTTAAAAATCTGAAAAAAGTGTCGAAAATTTAAGGTTTTTTGCAATGTTTCTTGTAAATCCGTTGCTTGGCGAGGTGGAAAATTTCAGATTTGGATTCAGCACCCCAAAAAATATGGATTTTAAATCACTTTCCAACAATCAACACAACCACAACCAAAACAAAACAAGAAAAATCAAGTCAACAACTGGGAATTAGGAAAAATTAAAAATACATAAGGCGATTTCGCCTCAGTTTGGTACCCCAGTTAGGTCTGTCAAACAGGTACCATTCTGGAGGTTTGGTAGCTTTCTGTTTCTTTTTCTCTCATGTCCAAATAAACATGTCAAAGTCAAAATGTACCAAACAAAGTCCGGGGTGAAATCGCCTTTATTGTATTTTTTGACGTTCAAATTTTCTCATGTCAGGCGTACCTTAAACTTCAACCAATCAAAAAACTTGGTTTTCCGACAATTTCTGAATGCAATTCGATCGAAGAATAGAATCGCCTATGGTTTCACAATCGTAAACAAAATCGTAATCCAGATCGAAATAGAGTCGGATGATAAAATCCCCCCTCATGAGTCATGATCGCTTAGTTAGCTTGGGCAATGCTGATGAGAACGCGGGTTCGAATCTCGCACAGGGCCAAAATTTTTAATCCCCCAATTTTCCTTAACTTTCTCTTCATTTGCAATTTCCACGCTTTTCGGTTGTTGTAAACAACAAAACTTTCCTTTTCTCTTTATTACTTGTCAAGGTCTGTCATCTTTCTCCAGTAACCTTCCCCTGGTGTTTTCTATCGGTAAAATGCAGATTTCGAGATTATTTTCTGGTTCAGGGCTGTTTGTTTCCTGAACGAAAAGTGTGACATGTGTGACTGGGCAACATCGGCATACAGGTGGTTTTCAGAAGTTGTACGAAATAAACATTTACCAAAGTCTGTTAGGCATGATTTTCCTGCTGACGCTCAAGAGTAAAGGCCCATTAAAGTGGAGTTTCCTTCAGAACGTGACCAAACAAACCGAAATTGAAGTCAATGAAATGATATTCCGAAAATATTCTAGACATATTTTTTTTCTGGGCTCAATGGCAGTCCGAATTTTTTCTCGACGTTTCGCTAAAACATGCGGTCATGCGGCTAGCCTTCCATTAGTTCCATTTCTGACTTCCGGTCCTGAAGTCAGGATGTAGATCGACTGACGTGCTGCAAATTACGGGCTATATTTATATCTCTCTTTTTCCGATGTTCATCGGAATGGTTCTTTTATTTCGATGGACAAATTTCCAAATTTAGTTGAGTTTCAGTGTCTCTTCTCTCCTACATCGCTTTATGGATTTACATCGCTATAAAAGGCGACGATGGTATTATTACGCGGGTGTAAAAAGGCTTCCTTCTCCAAGAAAGAAGAAGAACTTTCTCCACTGAGCGCGTGATCTGCAACTGTCGATTTTCCAGATTCGCTCAGTTCGCAGTGCATTTGTTGTTTACACGAATCTTTGCCTGTTTTTATCATTCCACAAGTGCATGGGATTCGGTAAACTACAGATGCTGATAGTGGATTTCTTGAGCGATTGTTGTACAGTCTGACACACGAATGAACCTTCGATGCGTGAAGTGGCAGAGAGGAAAACATGTAAAAATTTCCTAGTCTCACTCGGACTCGGACTGCGTGCCGGCATTTTTTCCACACACGTGCGTTCAGTTGTCGCACTGTACCTTTTTGTTAGTTTGAAGATCGTCTTTTCGATCGTCGGTTCAAAAAAATATTACCAGGACCGAAGACCACCACAACTTTATGGGTTACCAAATTAATGTACCCTCAAGACCGATAATGAGTGCACCCGGGTCGTTAACGTAGAAGATTCATGACAACTCTCCTGTCTGAAGATATTTTGGTCAGTTTTGACGTCGTTTCCATATTCACCAATGTCCCGCTGACGCAATTGGTCGATTTGATATCCAAGTTCTTTTTTATGCCTGAACAACTGGAGTTGACAAAATGAGAATAGTAGGTAGTTCGTGGCCTTTGTTGAATCAAACAATATCAAAGATTCAAAACATCATCAAGGAAATGAGAAATTGGTTTACATATACAAGCACTGAGTTTTCCGACTCTCCGTAATATGTTTATCACATAATCTTTAACATATTATGGGTCCTATTCAATCGAATTGCTGAAATAGCTACATCAATGTCTCCATTCGTGAATATTTTCAATGAGTACATTTTTTTTGACTTACCCTAGACAACAAAATGTAAAACGCTAATCCGAAAGCAATAATTAATATCGAAAACACCATCAACACTTTGATCAAAGTCTGCAATATTTCCAGAAACATCACGACGTAAATTCCCACTTGATCGAATCGTTGCAGCAGCAACAGCAAGTTGAACCAACTCAAAAACACCACCATCGAGGCGAAAGAAAATTGAATTTCGTAAATCCCTCCTCCGAATATCGGCAATACCATGACGATTGTTGCCCCGTAAAGACACCAAGTAACCAAGTTGATGGGATGGAAAAAATACAAGTATTTTTGCTGGACCATTTGCGTCAACTCTCTGGCACCGTTGATGGCGACGAACACCAAAATCGCCATCGCGCAAATGTACATCGAATAGTTAATTCCGACGTTAAGGATTTCGGACTTCCGTTCGGCGAATTTCTGAAAAATAAAACTGTATATGAAAAAGGAACTTTCTTTATAACGCTCGTGCTCTACCTACGATTTTCGATTTCGATGTGGAAAAATTCTATTTTCTCGTGTCACACTTCGTTTGTTAGAAAATTAAATCACTGAAGCATATAAAACGGATTGCGAGGTCCTCTCTTTGGCCAACGTGCGATGAAATTCTCTTTATAGTACAGGTAAAAAAATAGACCAAGATAAATAAAAGAAAAAAGTTCGTCTACTTGTCGTCCATACGAAGCAGAGAACTGGAACAATCAGATTTGTGCTAATTGAAGTTGGTAAATGTTCAGTTAAAGAATGTTTTCGGGTCAACACCCTGCTAGAATTTGAAATGACTGTAACATTTTTTATACTCGATGATTATCACCGGTTACATAGTTTGCTTCGTGTTTCTTAAATTATTGTTTCAAGTCGTAAAAACCATTGAATCATCATGTTCATAGTTTGATAAAACTGTCTATGGGAAACCAGATAGTAATATTGTTGGTAATATCGACAAAGTAAACACAGAATATAAAAACGAATTTAAAAAAATGTTTGATACAAGACTTGAAGAAATTTGATAGGTATTCACGAGGGGTAGGTCACTCCCCAATTAGGTGTACAAATGTTGAAATTTAATTGGAAAAATACATTTAATTACCTCTATTACCTTGCAATTACGTTCAATTACATTTAATTACACTCAATGACAAATAATTACACTCAATTACAAATAATTACACTCAATTACATTCAATTACAATTCAATTACCTTCAATTACGTTCAAATACCGCTCAAATACATTTAATCAATTACATTCAATTATATTCAATTACATTCAATTATATTCAATTACGTTTAATTACGTTCAATTACATTTAATTATATTCAATTATATTCAATTACATTCAATTACACTCAATTACACCTAATTACATCAATTACATTCAATTACGTTCAAATACATTTAATTTTATACATTCAATTACTTACAAATACATTCAATTACAAAAAAATACATGTAATTGAATTGAATGTATTTGTAATTAGGTGTACAAATTCTATTGAGTGACCTACCCCTCGGGTATTCAGCTGTATAATGTTTCTGACGTTAATTTCACAGACTGTCTGATGAAGTGGGGATTCGAAACTTTGTCTATTCTCGGAAACAACTCAAGAAAATATGAAGACAAAATTATTGAATATCAATTGCACTATTAGGACGAAGTTGAAACACTTTTAAAGACAGTTTTATGCATGGGCCTATGTGTTCATTTCACCTGTGCTATAATACCAACCACGGTTTGTTTAATTTTTTTGAAAATTCCACACTGCAATTTACAATGTTTCTATAAGCAAACGATATCATCTTACTGTCGTAGATATAGCTCGAGCGTTACATTTTAAAACTCCACAAAATGTCTTACCTGCTTTGTCGTCAAATTGCTAAAGTTCCCATAATTAAAATTAGAAGCGGCTTCGTGTTCCATAAGTTGCGACGAAAAACAGGTAATGAAACCCAGAAATAAGCAATAAAACACCAGGTTGGTCAGATGGAAGTATTTTCCGTAGGAATTCCATTTCATTTGCAAGTATTTTTGACTGAGCGGGTGGGCTAGGAGTTCGACACGGCCATGGGCTACCATCGCCTGGAAAATAAGTAGGTAGTCTGTAACAAGCATTTGAATATGCTTTAGTTTAAAAAATAACTCAATTTTACTTAGATTGAAAAACATATAGTATTAATTATTTTCCTCGGTATCATAACTTGTTTTGAAGGAGTTCAAATGTTGAACCGAAGATATACAATCAATACAATGATTCACAGGGGAGTTTTTAAAGCAGATTGACTTTTGTTAGTACGTCCCATATAAACTTTCGAAAAATGATTTTATTTGTTACAGCTCCGACAAATGCTTTCTCTAGTAGGACATGAAACTCTTGGGTTGTTTCGTGCTCCCACAAAAAAAAAAGCATTTTGGCAGCATTGAAGCAGCAGGAGCAACTGGGAATACTTGAACATTGGTTTGATTATATTTATCATTTGGGGTGAAACAAACCATGTTCATTGATTGAGATTGAGATTTATATATTTCTGAATGTTTCTGAGGAGCTTCTAAGAATAGTGCTTGTGATTCAGCCTATGCAAGTACTAGTCTATGATTTTCAGAAGTCTTTGTCGAATTTGATGTTGGTAAAGTCTTTTGATAAGGGCATTTCGAATAAATTAATTCCTATTCTGATCGGCAGCTCTCGCTTCAAACTTGCAATTCTTCCCAAATTGTCTTAATGCTTCAAGGTATTGTGCCACAGATTCATAATTTATTTCTCTATTCACGTATTAATAGACAATATCGGGCAAATATTTCGTTTTTGGGCTTGATATAAATATCGTTCAGAATTATTATACGTAGTACACATATCCCCTATATCGTAACCAATGAAATCCATTATCGTTACTCACCAAAAATAGATGAACAAGTATTATTCGAATATCATGACTCAGATATCGTCGGCCACTAACGAATTGAACGAACGGAGGATAGGTATAGGATATCTACTATTGTTCTGGAATGAGGAAAACTATTACCGAAAATATTGGAAAATGCAGAATGTTTGAAGTTTTCAATTTAAAACCTTGGGTTTCCTTCAAACTGCAGTAGAGTCACACAGATTTGATCGAGATTATTGCAATAGAAATAATTGGACCTTTACTTTACCCGCGACAATGGATCTTTAGCGTAGAGGATAGAGACAGTCGCTGGATGGAGATTTTTCATTTTTGTTTCAAAATGCCTCATCTGAAGCATTTATCCGCTGTCTTGTAGCTGATGAAGTTATTCTTCGGTATGAAGTCCCAAGACCAGTGATTAGTATTAATGGTCTCCAATTTATTGGAGCAATAATGCAAAAGGTTGCACACTCTTAAATTTCCAATAATGTTCATTTCCTACATATCTTTTTTACAAACCCAGTTGACTGGATGAAATCAACCTTTATTACACTGCCTAAAAAGCACTCAGCAAAGATGTGTAGTGATTACCCTTTAATCAGCCTAATGACTCATATGCTGGAAATATTTTTAAAGATTATCCATAAAAGAATATACGGAAAGTGCGAATCGTTCACAGGAGACACACAGTTTGGATTTCACGAAATCCAAGTATTTGGTACTAGAGAGGCTTTATTTGGTGTTCATCAGGTCTTGGTTCAACGTTCTAGGGATGCGTCGGTGCCAGTATATGCCTGTTTCATAGATTATGAGATGGCTTTTGATCGAGTCCATTACGAAAACCTCAGAATATCTTAAAGAAGTGGGTCTAGATAATCGAGACATAAATATAATTGAAAGCCTATATTGGAACCAGACAGTTCAGATAAAGGTTGATAACCAATTGTCCGAAGATGTTCGAATACGGAAAGGTATTGCATATTGTCTGCACTGTTGTTTAATATCTACAGTAATAAAATCATAGAGAACGCATTGCACAACTGCAAAGAGGGCTTGACTATAAATGGCATAGAAATCAACAACCTAATATATGCGATGCCCTAGTTATTATCGCAGATACACTGGAAGGTCTGCAGAAGCTCCTAAATAAAGATGCAGGCGAAAGCTCGCAACTTGGACTTTGGACTTAACTTAAATGAAGGGAAAACAAAATGGATGGTTATTGCCAAAGAAAGGAACATTAGGGACATATTAGAAATCAGTGGCCAACAAGTCGAACGCGTTGATTCTTACGAATATCTGAGTTGACATTTATATCTAAAGGACACCCTGACTCATATCGTGCTAAATGCTAATGCCAATGGCAGCTCCTGTTGATAAAGTAATAGGTTAGATAATGTTTTGCGTACTTTATCACCTCGATTTCTACGATTTATTTCACAGGCATGGTGTGTCCTAGTTGGAATACGTAAATATATACTTATGGTTTCTGGAAATAGACCCGGGCTCGATTCTTGTTGGAGGCAATAATTTTTTTTTTAATAAGTATTTCTTTTTTCTTAGGGTTTTATTTATTTATTTTTTTTTTCAAGATTGTTAAGAGGACGAGTTAGTTTCGGTTAGTTTTGATTTGCTCGGTTTCGTTTAAAATATCAACAAACAAAGACTAACACTTATTACTCTAAAGCTAACGCATGCGTACAACACGAGTCGAGGTGTCCTTTAGACTCGAGTCTGGGTTGACAGCTCAATGAAAACTGGGACAACATGCAAGAGGTCCGGGCAAGATTCGGACAGGTCAGATTGTCTTCCATTAAAATGAAGTCAGTGTTGTGTTGTTGCGATCTTGATAGCACTCTCCAAATTTGTGTGCTTCGTTGTTATATGTGTAGCATTTTATGCTATGAGCAGAAAATTGGAAGCCTTTGAGATGTGGTGCTATCGTAGAATGCTCAGAATATCTTAATGGATGGACAGAGTATGTAACGCGGATGTTCTTCCTAGAATAGATAAGGAGCTTGAAGTTTCATTCACCATCAAAAAACGTAAAATTGAATATCTTGGACACATTTTAAGAAATGACAAATATGAACTCCTTAAACTGATAATAGAGGGAAAAATTGAATGAAAAAGAGGTCCAGGCCGTAGACGAATATCATGGCTGAAATCTTAGACAATGGTATGGTGTTAGTACAACCAGTGGCGGCTGGCCTTAAGGGGCCAAGGGGCCGTGGCACTGGCGCAAAATATGTCGCTCCTTTTAAATTTTTTTTTTTTTTTAGTTCAATTGTTATTACAATCCTCAGATCAAATTACTTATCATTTTATAATTTGATCCCGACGGAAAAATTTCTGTCGTTATTATTCCTAAATTTCCTAGACAATAATTTAAGCGACTGACTAAACTAAACTCGCTGGACTATCCGTCCGAGCCCATCTCACAACGGCCCCGCTGCAACACGGCAATTACGTTGGAGAAGGTCACGCCGCACTCCCAGTAACCAGCTGTTTTTATACGTATAAAGCCAGGCGCAAACCAGAGCGGTGGCGGTGGCGAGCGCGGTGGCGGTGGCGGTGGCAAACGAATACTGCACATGTAAATAAATCACCGCGTGCATACCGCGGCTCTGCGGCGGTCACATTGCGATCGGCGGTAGAACGCTGCCTGCATCTTTTTCCGCCTAGTTCGCGCGATCTGCATCAGTACAGCGAAGTGCAAGCATGTCGTGTGATACTGAAAAACTTAACGAAAATGTGCGAGAAAAAAAAAAAAAGAAAACAAGGCTTTTTCTTTCATGTCTTGGGCACTCATTGCGTACTTTTACAGTCAAAATTAAAGATAAAAATGACAGTCAAGTAGCACCTGGTTAGGGCTGCCATTTATGAAATTTGTTACCTAGGACAATTTTTACAAAAACCCCGAATTCTAACCCCTCAAACCCGGACACCATTAGAGGACAGCCCACCTTAGGTGCCGCCGGAGGCAGAAGGTTTTTTTGGGTGTTGGCCCAAAAAAGTTTATTTCAAGCCTTCGAGAACCACTCATTATTTTGACAAACAATTATTTTTTGGGTTTTTTATTAGGTTTCACCGAGCTCCAGACATGACACGTGAACGTGAAACTTGGTCGCGCACACGTGGGCTAAATAAAACTGATGATGTCGATTGACGATTTCCATGATTCTTGTCAATTTTGCGGAGTAATTCGTGATTTTTTTCAAGATGCCGTAAACCGTAAAACAGGGATAACTCCAAAAAATCCCCCCGGACGTCCCCGGACGCCTTTAAAACTAGGACAAATAAATCCGGGGAAATCCGGACGGATGGTAGCCCTACACCTGGTAAAACAAAGATTAATAAAAATGAAAAAAGAACAGAGAGCAGTTCATCAAAATATGCCAGTAGAGCAAGCTCTGCAACCAATCTTGATCCAGAAGCGAAAATGAATATACTGAAAATACTAATATTTGTCGCGGAAAAAACGCGTTGGTTTGCGGACATTAGTTCGCTTCGTCACCGCCACCGCTACCGCCACCGCGCCCGCCACCGCCACCGCTCTGGTTTGCGCCTGGCTTAAACGGGGCCACCTGATCGAACGGCCCGGATTAGTTTTTGCGGCAATATAATTAACACACAACACACAACAAGAACCTGGAACAAGCCAAGTGAGCTGGAACAAGTCTGGAAAATGTCTGGATAAATCTGGATGAAGTCTGGAAAAGTCTGGAAATCTCTGGAAAAGTCTGAAAAGCGCCTGGAAATTTGCCTGGGAAGGGTCGGAAAAATTCTGCCAAAGGTCCCAAAAGACCTAGGGATCATTTTCCAGAATCCGGATCAGTGTGGACAAGTCTGGATTAGGTCTGGATAAATCTGGATAAAGTCTGTAAAACTCTGGATAAGTCTGGATATTGTCTGGAAAAGTCTGGAAATCTCGGGAAACGTCTGGAAAAGACTTGGAAATTTCTGGAAAGGGTTGGAAAAATTCTGAAAAAGGTCCCAAAAGACCTGGGGATCATTTTCCAGAATTCGGATCAGTTTGAACAAGTCTGGATAAAGTCTGGATTAATCTGGATGAACTCTGAAAAACTCTGGAAAGCTCTGGATAAGTCTGGATAATGTCTGGAAATCTCTGGAAACGTCTGGAAAAGGCCTGGAAATTTCTCGAAAGTGTCGGAAAAATTCTGGAAAAGGTCCCAA